GAATCCATGCTTCAGAAGGTAAGCATTAGCAGTATCCTGCTTCTGTACACCAAAAAGGCTCTAAGGATGTGTCTACATAAAAAAAAAAGCTAGTCTCAACACATTTTAATAAAAGGTTAAACTACAACATGAAGGTTCCCAAGTGGCAAAATAGTGAGAAGTCTTACAGAAAGGATATTTATTCAAAATTAAAAACAAAAAAGGCTTACTTTTAATTTCTTTATGTGTATGTACACACTCTTCCAGAGTTAGGAAACCTCAGAGAACACCTAAAACTGAGGCAATTTACTCTTGAGCATGGTAAACATGTTGTTTTAAATTAGAATGTTTCATATTAAGAGAAATTACAATAAAATACACACTTGGTACTGTAGGGAAACCAGTGTTGACATATCTGTCAATATGATCAGAAACCCGTATTTGCATCATTATATGTACCTTAAATGATACAATTTGAAGGTGTTTCAGGCTAAAGTGAAAATGTTTGCTTTTAAACAAACTGAATCTTGTAAGTACACATTAATAAAGAAACTGTAACTTATCTTGATCGGTTTTATATTTAAATACAATTAAGAATTAAAATATTCTACAAAACTTTAATATGTTTATATTTAACTTTATAATTCTGTCCAGAAGGTGGCATCAAAGGTTACTATATAATGTAGTGGTTTGAATAGAACTTTATCATTAGGGGCAAATACAATGTTGTATGAAAAACTGCTCAACAAAAAGAAGCAAGGGATATACTCAGAATTTCTATGCATAATACTCCAAATATCAAGATATATATGCACTGTATCAAGATTTATTGTATCCTTCATTAGAAAGAATAAAATTATTTTAGAAAATTAGAAAAAATGTATCCAACCCTAAAACAAAATGATTAGTCCTTATAATTCAGGTTAGCTCTCACTTTCAATTCCCCGTATGTTAATGCTGTTTGATAACAAAGCAGAGAAAGAGGACGTTACTCACCTTGTGCAGTAATGATGGTTTTTCGAGATGTGTCCCCCTATGGATGCTCCACTGTAGGTGTTTTTGCGTCCCTGCGCTGCTGATCGAAGAACTTTGGTAGCAGTGTCTGTTTGGCCCACACATGCACTGTCCCCTCTTCATATTCTGCCATGAGCTAACCACAGTTGCACGGGTGAACCCCTATCAGTTCCTTCTCTACCGCAGAGTCTCTGGCAAGAACTCTGAAGTAGAGGGAAGGAGGGTGGGTCATGGAGCACCCATAGCGACACATGTCTCAAAGAACCAGTTACTGCACAAGGTGACTAACTTCCTCTTCTTCTTCAAGTAGTGTCCCTATGGATGCTCCACTGTAAGTGACTCCCAAGCAGTATCCATAATGGGAGGAGGCTGGGGCTTCAGAGTCGAGTCTGCCATGAATGATAATACTGCGGAGCCAAAGATAGTGCTGGAAGCAGAGCCCCCCAGTAATCGCATAGTGTTCTGCAAAGGTATGCGCAGATGCCCAGACTGCTTTCCTGCAGATTTCTGAGATAGGGACATTCTTAAGGAATGTGACAGAGGAGGAAACCAACCTTGTGGAGTGCCTGTGGTTCCAGATGGAGGTACTACATTGTGAACCTGATAGCAGTGTTTGATACAGTTCAAGACCCATTTGGAGAGTCTCTGGGCCAATATTGCTGCACCTTTAGACCTTTCTGCAATGGAAAGGATGAGTTTAGGAGTAAAAGGTAAAAGGCTTAGGGTAAAAGGTCAGGAGGTGAATCAGTTGGTTTATGTGAAAAGATGAGGTCACCTTGGGGATGAACTTCGGGTGTGGTCGGAGAATAACCTTGTTCCGAAAGAACTGTATTAGGGCAGTGTGCCATCAGTGCTGCTATCTCCCCAATTCTCACCAAAGTGATTGCCACCAGGAATGCTGTCTTCATAGACAGGTATGTGAGCAAACAAATGGCAATGGGTTCAAAGGGCAGCCTAGTCAGGTGAAGTTTCCTGTCTTCTGGGTGAATCTTGATGCAGGTCTGCAGGTGGTTGGAGAGCTGCTTCCATTAGAAGGTGTTTTAGTCTCAGCTCTCTGTCCTTTCGAGATCGCAGCTTCAGCTGTTGACAAAAACCATACTTCTGGGGAATATGGCTTTCCCTGAGGCAATGGACACGAGGAATGTCTGTCCATTACATGGATGGCCTGTTTACAGGAGAGGCACCTCTTAAACCCCGGTGAACCAGGCCTACCCCACACAGGGGTAGTTCCCAGAAAAAGGGGACGTAGTAAATGAAGTTGGGTTTTTTTGTTTTTGTTTTTAAAGAAAAAAACAAATGAAATTCTAAACTCACAAAAAAAAGATTAAGTTAGATTAAGTTAGAACAATAGGGTTAACAATCCGATGAACGGACAGCTAATAGCTCCGTCTCTAGCCAGGGGTAGTTGAGAAGGAACTGAGAAGGGTTCTCCCGTGCAAGGCTGGTTAGCCTCGTGTCAGATCACGAGGAGGGGACAACACGTGTGCAGGCCAAATGGACACTGCTACCAAAATTCTCCGATCAGCAGTGCAGGGATGCATGAGCACCTACAGTGGAGCACCCATAGGGACACTACTCGAGGAAGCAACAGTTATTTACTGGGAAGTCACTGATTTATAAAGAACATAAATGTTGACAATTTCTTTCTCTATAGTTCTCCCTTAGCAGCAATTAGTGTTCAGATATACAGATTTTTAAATGGCGGATATTAACTCTTTTTGGTCTGTCTAGGCCACACATTAATAGTTCTGTGGCATAAGTACTGTATTCCAAGAGAGTTGGACACCAGTTTAAAAAAATATAACTCAATGTAGTTTCATATACAATAGCTTTACAGTCTTCCTGCCAATTTTTGTGGCTTTACAATCACTTTTGTCTATTATTGCAAGGACGGGAAGATCCACTCTAATGGATCTGCAGTTTTTTCTATTTTCCTGGGATCAAACTGGAGAGAAAAAAGGGTGGTGGTATTCTTCCATGCTCTTCCAAGAAAGTAAGTTCCAGCCACATGAGTCGCCAAAATGAGAAATCACCACAGTAGACTTGGCAGATATTCAAAATATGTGCAATCACATGACATCCCTAGAATTCTTGAGCTTGAGTCCCCTGGGTGGGGCTTGAATATGCCCATGGGCATTCACAGGCTCCTTGGGTGTGGGTCCTTCTTGATTGAGGAAGAAATGTGATAGCATCTCTAAAATGCCACCCACCTGAGTTACCCCCATGAGACATCACACACAGTACATTGTGCAAGGTCTGTGATCCTCCCTCTCTTTTCTTACATGAAGCATGAAATAGCTATCAGTGCTGCCATTAAAGTTATCACCACTGGGCAGCTGAATTAACACCTCCCTGAAATGAATGAGGCACGTCACACCTCCCAGAGCTATTATTCTGGGCTCTCTGCAAACTAAAGGCCATGTCTACACTAGCACTTATGTTGGCAAAACTTTTGTTGCTCAAAGGTGTGAAAAAAAACACCCCCGAGTGACGTAAGTTTTGCAGGCACAAGTGCTCATGTGCACAGCGCTATGTCGGCGGAAGAGCTACCGCTGCTCATCGAGCTGACTTTATTACGTCAACAGGAGAGCTCTCTCCCCTTGGCATAACACAGCTACACAAGCGCTCTTGCAGCAGCACAGCTGTATCAGTACAGCTCTGGGGCTGTAAGCTTGTAAGTGTAGACATGGCCTCAGTCTCTGCATCAGTAATTCCTGGTTCACGTTTTTGAGGTTTTCTTTGCAACCACATACTTTAGCTAGAAACATACTTTAAAATAAATAAATAAATAAAACTTTAAAGTTAAGATTCTGTTGAAAAAGAGAGGTGTTGGTATTCTGCACTGCCACAGTGTCCAAGCTTTGCCATGGGCAGAAGAAAATGTATTTCCCTCCCATTCCTGTGTGAAAGACCCAAACAAAACCAGGAGAAATTGACAATACACAAGAGGCTGTCAAAAGGCACAAAGTAAACATACCGGGAAAAAAGCCAACAATTTTTGCTCTAATCTTTTCCAGTTATAATAATCTTAGGTCTTACTTGTAAAAACAGTAGATAAAAAAATTAAGTTCACGGTGTCCCTTTAGCCTCTGTCTCTGTTTCCCCATCTATAAAATAGGTATACTACTTGACAGATTAGATTGTAAGGGTTACTGTTTGTACAGCATTTTGAAGATGAAAGGGCCAAAGTCTATTCACGTATGCATTCCTGCAACTCTCAAAGAAGTCAGTGGGTGATGTGCATGTTGATTTGAAGACAAAATTTGGCATTAAGTATTATTCCCATCTTCTACTTACATTAAGCGCTGTGGAGATTCTGTGTTAAATGGATTCTAAATGTGAATGATGAAATGTTAACTGTCACTAAAAACTATTTAATAAGAACAGCACATTAAGGTGTATTTCAGATTTACATAGACTATTAAAGAAAACATGAATACAGTTGTTTTCAATCATGTCAAAGTACTCAAATGTTAAGAAATATTTGAATCTGATAAATATGGATACACAAATATTCAGTACTGGAAAGAAGACAGACTTTGGTGAAAAAGTGATTTATGTCACTACTGTACATGCTAGAGAGAGAGAGATCTTGCCCTTATGGATATAAGATTTATCCAGTTCTTTTTGAATTTTGCAGTTCACAGGCACTGTATGTATAGCAGTTTCCTAAATGGGAAGTGGTTTCTTCTCCCTCTAGAATTACCATGATCATTACTATCCACAGGCATTTTACCTATATGAAACATGACAGTGCATTTGATTCTGAAAACTGCTCACTCAAGTGTGATGCTAATATCAAAAGGTATGGAGAATTATGGATAACTGTTCAATTCAAATTTTAAATCCCCTTGTCTCCTTCCTTTAACAGGAACGCAATGAAATTTATAACTGAATTTAATCAGAAATGGAGAACAATACAAGACTAAATAAAATAGAGAAGAAAGCACTTGATGAGAAGAGGCATTCAGTTAGACTATTTAGGAAAAGTTAGAAAAAACGAATACCTGCAATGAACAACAACAGGTTCTTCTCTGCCAGCCCTCTTTTTTCGTACAAGACACACAAAATCCAGGAAGTCACTGGAATCATCAGGAACCCCATGATCAGGCCATGCTACATACTGGATCTGGGTGAGCTGACGGGTTTCATTTTTCTAATCAGGAATACAACATTTGTTCAAATGTAATTCAGACTTCATAATAAAAAACAGCGATAATCAACTATACTCAGATAATTACTTCTCATTTGGACATCTCAAAGCACTTTATGAATATTAATTATTTGCCAACACATTTTAGAATCCTATTTTTCCTTAAACACAATAATAAAAGGCACAAATATGTCTTTATAAGCCATTTAAAGAGTACATCTCTAGAACAGGTAAGCTATTACTTTGGCTTTTCTGCTAAAGTGTGTTTTACTGTTACCTAATCTTTTCAATCCACTCCGTCTGTCGGTGGAGCTCTCTGGGGCAGAAACAGTCTTGCTTTGTTATATATAGTGCCTAGTACAATCCGACCTTGATCCTGACTACTGTTCCTAGGCATTACCATAATATAAACATAATGCATTAGAAATGGGCTCGAATACATTTCTAAAATTCACTACCAAAGTGCATTGTAAAATAAGCAACGATGTGCAATTTGGACAGAAATACTATATACCAATTCAACAAAGAAGCAAGGAAATATGACTGATAATGCATAAGAAAGAGAAGATCACTATTTTAAAGTGTAGGTATACTCTGAAAAGCAATTTTCTAAAAACAGTACTATAAGTTCCATGTTTGCTGCACCTAAATGGCAGATCACATTGTCTCAGCTTTAAAGTGAAAATATTTTTTCCCTCTAATGCCCAATACGAAACACAGCCAGGTATCTTAAAATCAAGCTATGCTTTTTCTGCCTCACACATCATTAGCAATACATAAGAACATAAAATTGGCTATACTGGGTCAGACCAAAGATCCATCTAGCTCAGTGTCCTGTCTTCCAACAGCGGCCAACGCCAGGTGCCGCAGAGGGAATGAACAGAACAGGTAATCATCAAGTGATCCATCCCCTGTCGTCCATTCCCAGCTTCTGGCAAACAGAGGCTAGGGACATCATCCCTCCCCATCCTGGCTAATAGCCATGGATGGACCTATCCTCCATGAATTTATCTAGTTCTTTTTTGAACCCTGTTATAGTCTTGGCCTTCACAACATCCTCTGGCAAAGAGTTCCACCGACTGACTGTGCATTGTGTGAAAAAATACTTCCTTTTGTTTGTCTTAAACCTGCTGCCTATTAATTTCATTTGGTGACCCCTAGTTCTTGTGTTATGAGGAATAAATAACATTTCCTTATTTACTTTCTCCACACCAGTCATCATTTTATAGACTTCAATCATATCCCCCCTTAGTCATCTCTCTTCCAAGCTGAAAAGTTCCAGTCTTATTCTCTCCTCATACAGAAGCTGTTCCATACACCTAATAAAATATTCTGCAACAGAAACTTAGTGAACAATTATTTTGATGTATGCCAGAAGAGAATCCAGCTCTCACATTCTCAGCTGTGCTGGCACTGCAGGAATAGTAAGAGTAAAAGATAGTCAAAAACTTGCCCTTGTCTATAAAAGAAGCATATCTAACTGAATACACCCAGCGATCAAACCTGTTGAATAAGAAGGTATTATTTTTGTGCTCTCTTTTCTAACCATAACCACAACTGAACACACAACAGGTAGCCTAAAATAATAATAATTTCTAATTTAAGAAAATCAGGGAATTGGGGGATTAAAGAGTGTGGAAAATAAACATGACCTGGGGAGACTGCAGAAAGTGGGGCCAGAGGTGTGTGGTGGCAGCTCTGTCTGCATGAGAGAAAACTTAAGTAGCAGGGGGTCTGGGAAAGGCAAACAGGGAAGGAAAGGGGCCACGCAAGCAGATGGGTGAGGGAAATGGAAAGAGAGGGACCAGCAGGTAAGGAGACCCTGAGTGCCATGGCCATAAACATCTGCAGCTATATGTGGTGTACACTGGGGGGTGTGCTAGAGTGCTGAAATGTAGAGAAACTGACCAGGCAGTGAAACTGGAGAAGCAGCTGTGTAGTAGAGCCTTCTGAAATATTAGGTACCTCTTGATGCACTAATTAAGTGCTCAGTCAGGATTATAGAGTTACATTTAATTTATAATAAACATAAATAGCTAGTTAAGCACTTACTACATAAAAGGTACTATAAAATATACAGTAACCAAGAGTTCTTCCTCCGTCTATCAGCCTCAGCACAACTTTATTTTCTACTCTGACGGACTTCCCCACCCAACCACATCCACATGCCTGCTAGACCAAAGTAATACTAAAAAAATTGCCAGATTTCTCCTGTTTTTTGGAGGATCACTGACTAGGCCTCATAAACCCTAAAATTTTGGAAGATACTCCTGTATTACATCTTCAAATTCATGTAACCCCTTGCCCATGGAATTCTCAAAATTGAAAGAGAAAAATACAACTGTCCTCTTTTTGTGAAATTACACCATAACAGCCATTTGACTAGCTGTCTCCATTAACTATGATGTAATTTCTCTCAGGAGAATCTCATTCTTTCTGATGCCATTCTGTGACTTATTATTCACTTATATATAAAACATACTGTACAATATCTGAGATGCAATAGAACATTTGGAGAATAGGCCTATTCTATGAGAAATTTTACAGATAAACTGACTGTTTTGGATAATTCAGCTGCAGTAACCAACAGTGAGAACTTCCCAACTGATCTTAACTACTGCAAAAGTGTACAATATCAGAAGGTTTCAGTTAGTTGGGGAGTCACATCATTCGATGTTTTAAAGATGATCATCTGCGCTCTGAATTGCACCTGGAAATGCAAAAGCAACCAGTGCAGAGCTCTTATCCTACTTAAGAGGCAAAAAATGGTATTCTAACTTTTGTGCCATTCTGTGGTAACTGTCAAAATTACAAAAAGTATATTTTTGGACTAAGTTTGGAAGAACTGTAACTGTTTCACCTCAAACAGAGCCACTGTCTTTGAAAATATCGATCCTCTCTTGTTTTCTAAGTTACTAGGAATTAGTTCTACCTGCAAATCCTTTTTCCTCAAGTTAATACATGAAGGATACTTACCTGTAACCAGAGTTCTTTGAGATGGAGCCTGCATATTCTCAAAATTTAGAATTGTCCCCATAAATTTTGTCACCATATATCAGAAATCCAGGCCTTCATTTAAAAATATGAAGCTTAAAGACATTGTTTTAGGAATACTATCCTCCTAATGTGGTTTGTTACCCTATTAAGAAATGTTTACCGAAAACTGTCTTCAGAGACACAAAATGTGTTTCTAGGCAGCAACAATGAAAAGTTTCTAATTTCTATCCTAATCTAATGATGTTTTGAAAAGATTGAGGGAATATATTAAAATAAATCTCTAATAATTTCTTATTTAATTATTGTCATGGCTTTAGCTTTAGGATTATCTTGGATCAAACAGCTCTTAGATAATTAACACTCATCCCATATGACTAATATAGTGCACTATACCCATAATGGGAACAAGATTAAATCTCTGTTCAATTCCCTGAAAAGGTACCACTAAATCTTTTTTGTGAACAAAAGGTATGTATTCATAAAAAAGAAAATAATTCATACAAAATAAGATCTTTCAAATTGAGACTCATTTTCTATGGGATTTTAAAATGATCAATTAATTGGATATACTCAATAATCTACATGTGGACGTGCTATAAAACTGGAAAGAATGTCCGCAGTTAGGTAATTCTACTTTGAGGATTCCACAGAATTTGACTATATTATATTATATTATAATAGTTTTACCTCAAGGTTAGTCAGTGTCATCTCTCTGAAGACATAAGCAGGATTTCCTTCCTCTGAATGGCAGGTAATCTGGAAATTTCCATATGATGCGCTTCCTGTAGGCTCTGGCCAGTACTGATGGCACTTAACCTAAGATCAAGAGGTTTTCAAAGACTTAAGATTCATAGACCGTTATTTTTCCTCCTTTCTAGATTCAGCAAAGTTCCCTTTTGAGCATTTTGTAATTACTGCTGACTTACTTACCGAACATACTGTAGGGGTTTATAATTGAAAAGGAGCTATTAACTGCATAACTGAAATAAAAAATTTCAAACTAGTGTAATTGATATTAGTCCTGAGCAGATGAATACAATTAACCATTTTCAACTGTTTTTTGTTCATATGACAATCAAAGGATCAAATGTTGACTCTGCAAATGCATGTAACTCCATGAAAGTTCCATATGAATAGTTGAGGGCAAAATATGGTTTAAATTAACATTGTAGGATGTGCAGTTGCCATTCACCTTGAAGGTACCCAACATTTCCTCTGATCTAGCTGTGTGATTATTATATAACTACACTGCCCGCAGGCTCTTAACTACTTGAATTTCATACATAAAGTCAGGTAACATCATGTAGAAGTCCTGCTTCTCTTCTCAACTTTGTTTCTTTCACACAGGCCCCAACCCTTGAGTTTAGTGTAACTGAATAGTGATGCCTTTAACTTTTGATATTACTTCTTTTTAAATATTCCCTTTTGACACCACAGTGACAGGTCCCTCCTTAGATCCATTCCTAACTTCTAAAATCCTAAAATAATCCTTCCTTAAGGCAGATTTACATGATAAAGAAAACATGTTGCTATAATGTGAAAGGAGGAGGTGGCCAGTAAGCAATAACTAAGATTGCTTCAAGGTGCGTTAGGTGGTGGGTTTACCAAAATCTTTACGGTTAAATGAGAACTTTAAAGAAGACCAACTTTATGACAAACTGCTTAAATGCCCAAATATAAATAGAGGTCATTTCAGTTCATGCATACTTTTTATATTTCTAATCCACCGGCAGGGTCTGTAAAAGCAGCCATATCCTGCTCCCCTGAGACACTCTGGCATGCAGTGGGATAGTGACCTCATTAGCCCCTTGATCAGCATTAGAGCAGGGTGAAGTAATTTTATTTCAATATTTAGCAGCTCTCAAAGAATTCTATAAATATCAGTATTAAAAAACCTTAGAGAACTGCTATTGTGGGTCTGTTCTTAGATCTGCAACGAAAATTAAAGTAAATTAAAAGGGCACTTGAACTGAAATTCCCTCTAATTGTGTTCATTTGGGAGCACACAGCATCATATAGTAAAACTGAGTCACTGAAAAATAGTTTAAAAACTGAGTCACTGAAAAATAGTTTAAAAACATTTAAAAAAACACACCTACAATTATTTTTATGGTATTTAACAAGTCTGACAGCACAGCAAATACACGGTTATTTTAACAAGAAGAATGCACACACACAGCTGAACTGAAGTCTGAATTAATGTGACTATTCTTAACATAGACCAGTTTTGCTGGCCAGGATGATAGACATCTACTATAAAACCCAACAAATAAAACTCAGAATTATGATGAAATTTCAGGCTATTGCAATCAGTCAATTATGCTTATGTGTTTCAAGTTCTCCAATTGCTACTGAATGTTACAAATAGTATGCAAGCTGTTTTATGAAATACACCAGGTATGTGCTAATATTTGAATGGTACTTCAGTGGACAGAGGCAACACAATGGGCAAAATTATTAAGGAGACAATATCAACCAGAGTTTCAGGTGTAGCTGAAATTAGGTGATGCCATTATGGCAACATACACATAATTATTTATAATTACTTTCTTATTTATAATTTGTACATATGCAGCTAATAACATGTAACATAACATCTTTTTGTATTAAAAGAAGCATATTTAAAAATGGGGTTAAGAACTTGGAAGGTGGTAAGGTGATAGGGAATAGCCAGCATGGATTTGTAAAGAACAAATCGTGTCAAACCAATCTGATAGCTTTCTTTGATAGGATAACGAGCCTTGTGGATAAGGGAGAAGCTGTGGATGTGGTATACCTAGACTTTAGTAAGGCATTTCATACGGTCTCGCATGATATTCTTATCGATAAACTAGGCAAATACAATTTAGATGGGGCTACTATAAGGTGGGTGCATAACTGGCTGGATAACCGTACTCAGAGAGTTGTTATTAATGGTTCCCAATCCTGCTGGAAAGGCATAACAAGTGGGGTTCCGCAGGGGTCTGTTTTGGGACCGGCTCTGTTCAATATCTTCATTAACGACTTAGATATTGGCATAGAAAGTACGCTTATTAAGTTTGCGGATGATACCAAACTGGGAAGGATTGCAACTGCTTTGGAGGACAGGGTCATAATTCAAAATGATCTGGACAAATTGGAGAAATGGTCTGAGTTAAACAGGATGAAGTTTAACAAAGACAAATGCAAAGTGCTCCACTTAGGAAGAAAAAAGCAGTTTCACACATACAGAATGGGAAGAGACTGTCTAGGAAGGAGTACGGCAGAAAGGGATCTAGGGATTATAGTGGACCACAAGCTAAATATGAGTCAACAGTGTGATGCTGTTGCAAAAAAAGCAAACGTGATTCTAGGATGTATTAACAGGTGTGTTGTGAGCAAGACACGAGAAGTCATTCTTCAGCTCTACTCTGCTCTGGTTAGGCCTCAGCTGGAGTATTGTGTCCAGTTCTGGGCACCGCATTTCAAGAAAGATGTGGAGAAATTGGAGAGGGTCCAGAGAAGAGCAACAAGAATGATTAAAGGTCTTGAGAACATGACCTATGAAGGAAGGCTGAAAGAATTGGGTTTGTTTAGTTTGGAAAAGAGAAGACTGAGAGGGGACATGATAGCAGTTTTCAGGTATCTAAAAGGGTGTCATAAGGAGGAGGGAGAAATCTTGTTCACCTTAGCCTCTAAGGATAGAACAAGAAGCAATGGGCTTAAACTGCACCAAGGGAGGTCTAGGTTGGACATTAGGAAAAAGTTCCTAACTGTCAGGGTGGTTAAACACTGGAATAAATTGCTAGGGAGGTTGTGGAATCTCCATCTCTGGAGATATTTAAGAGTAGGTTAGACAAATGTCTATCCGGGATGGTCTAGACAGTATTTGGTCCTGCCATGCGGGCAGGGGACTGGACTCGATGACCTCTCGAGGTCCCTTCCAGTCCTAGAATCTAGGACTGACTAGTCAAAAACAAATCTTTTTAAATAAAAGATTGCATGTACAGTAGTCAATTTGCAAACACTAATAATCTTTCATTTGATTAAGCAAATACTCAGAGGCAGTACTCCATTGCGTGGAGGTACAGCTTGAAAGTAATAGAATCATAGAACTGGAAGGGACCTCGAGAGGTCATCTAGTCCAGTCCCCTGCACACATGGCAGGAATAAGTACTATATAGACCATCCTTGACAGGTGTTTGTCTAACCTGCTCTTAAAAATCTCCAATGATGGAGATTCCACAGTCTTCCTAGGCAATTTATTCCAGTGCTTAACCACCTTGACAGCTAGGAAGTTTTTCCTAATGTCCAACCTAAACCTCCCTTGCTGCAATTTAAATGCATTACTTCTTGTCCTGTCCTCAGAGGTTAAGAACAATTATTCTTCTTCCTCCTTGTAACAACCTTTTATGTACTTGAAAACTGTTATCATGTCCCCTCTCAGTCTTCTCTTTTCCAGACTAAACAAACCCAATGTTTTCAATCTTCCCTCATAGGTCATGTTTTCTAGACCTTTAATCATTTTTATTGCTCTTCTCTGGAATTTCTCCAATTTATCCACCTCTTTCCTGAAATGTGGTGCCCAGAACTGGACACAATACTCCAGTTGAGGCCTAATCAGCACAGAGTACAGCGGAAGATTTATTTCTCGTGTCTTGCTTACAACACTCCTGCTAATACATCCCAGAATGATGTTTGCTTTTCTTGCAACAGTGTTACACTGTTGACTCATATTTAGCTTGTGGTCCACTATGACACCCAGAACCCTTTCCACAGTACTCCTTCCGAGGCAGTCATTTCCCATTTTGAATGTGTGCAACTGATTGTTCCTTCCTAAATGGAGTTCTTTGCATTTGTCCTTACTGAATTTCATCCTATTTACTTCAGACCATTTCTCCAATTTGTCCAGGTGATTTTGAATTTTATCCTAACCTCCAAAGCACTTGCAATCCTTCACAGCTTGGTATCATCTGCAAATTTTATAACTGTACTCTCTATGCCATTACCTAAATCACTGATGAAGATACTGAACAGAACCGGACCCAGAACTGATCCCTGCGGGACCCCACTCGTTATACCCTTCCAGCATGATTGTGAACCACTGATAACCACTCTGGGAATGGTTTTCCAACCAGTGATGCACCCATCTTATAGTAGCTCCATCTAGGTTGTATTTCCCTAGTTTGTTTATGAGAAGGTCATGCAAGACATATCAAAAGCTTTACTAAAGTCAAGACATACCACGTCTACTGCTTCCCCCCCATCCACAAGGTTTGTTACCCTGTCAAAGAAAGCTATCAGGTTGGTTTCACATGATATGTTCTTGACAAATCCATTCTGACTGTTACTTATCACCTTATTATCTTCTAGATGTTTGCAAATTGATTGATTAATTATTTGCTCCATTATCTTTCCAGATACAGAAGTTAAGTTGACTGGTCTGTAATTCTTCGGGTTGTTCTTATTTCCCTTTTTATAGATTGCCACTATATTTGCCCTTTTCCAGTCTTCTGGAATCTCTCCCATCTTCCACGACTTTTCAAAGATAAATGGATAATGGTGGATTTAAGGCTGATCCATGGATCTGGAGCCAATTCTCCAAAGAGCTCCATAGTATAATTGGCGATTGTTGTGATGTCGTGACATCGCAAGGCAAATTTATGACATTGCAAAGCAAACAATACAACACTGGTCCAGGCCTCCTTACAGGATTAAATCATCCCTGTCCAGAAACTTTAATCTAGAAAAAATGATGAAGTTTTTTGAGTTGACGTAGCTCAGGGGGAAAAACCACACTCGAAGCAGGTAACTTTGTTTACTACTTCACTGTAAAAACAGTAAGATTAAGTCTTTAAAAATTCATTTATGAAACATGAGAATCAAGACTTGTACATGTTTCAATACTACACTAAATGCTAAAACTAGTTGCATAATCCTGAAAGAAAGGGTTTAAAACTGAAACACAGGAGAGCCTTAACTGTATCAATGCCTGTGAGCACTGCCATAAAAAAGAAATTCGTAACGGCCCTGTTATACCCTAGTCGTTTATGGCCGATTCAAAAAGGGATTTTTAAAATAATATGTGATCAAAGTTCTGACTTGAAATCGAACTTACTCTGCCCCTTTCAACTTGAGTGGTCAACATTACAACCATAGATGAACCTTGTTCCCAAGTCATCTGCCAAAAATCAGGACAAGTGTTCGGTAATGGACCCTGACAAGCAATGTACTGGTTTATTATGCTGGAAGAAGAGATTTCCATCTAAAAGAAAACAAATTAATAATTATTTTAGTTGTTAAACAACATTACTCTCTTGGCAACTTTAATTTATGCACCACAAATTTAGACTTTGCTAGATAATTTAAATTAGATTTACAAAAAATATAGGAAGAATGAATCAATAATATCAATACTCTTAAAATGTTTATCACCAGACCACAGATAAAAGAGCTCACAAAACAAAAGAAACCTATCAAGACTGAGAAAAAAATCATCTTATTTCAAACCATTAAGAAATCCAAATATATTTCATTTAATTAACTGACAGACTTTAGTTGCCAAATACCTGAGCTGTCAAGACCACAGGTCACAATGAAGGCATATGAAAAAACATGACAGTTCAGTGCCAAGATAATTTTTGTAGACGTATACACATTACATCCACTGTTTACAATATTTGATAATTTAAATACTAATCCTGGAATCAAATATCTTTCCTTTGTATTCCTGAAGTGAAAAGCTAGCTGTACTTTGTTATTACTGGCTACAAGACAAAGACCTACCAGGCTAAATTTTGCTAGTCTTGAACACTGCAACAACAATGTGCATTGGGTTACTTTGTGCCAGTTTTAACTCTAGATGGCTACTTTCTCCCAACAATGACCCCATCTGAAATAAAATTCAGGCTCTTGTTGCTGCACATAAAATCTCTCAATTTGATTGAGAGTTAGTAGGAAATTATCAACCACTGTCTTTTAGATAAACAAACTTACTAACATGTAAGGCAACTGATGAAAATACTTCCCATCTACTCTAATCTATGTTAGATTGGAGAAACATTTTCAAAAAGAGTGAATTATCTTATTTTTACATTTTGTTCTGAAAAGCTGCAGTAGCAAATTATAAATCAATTGTTCTTCTGCAGAATGCTGCCACAATGTACTTACAGTATGAATGACATAAAATTCAACTCACATTTATATAATTTGCATTGATGTAGTCATCATTACTCTTCAAAACAACCCGTGTAGCATCATCTGAAAAAATATTTAAAGAACATGTGTTATTTCTCTACCAAGTACAAATAAATACAGTATTTTAACTTAAAACCATATACATACACATACACACACTTACAAGGCGAAATGTCTCTGTATCTATTTTTGGAAATATTTTGAGGTAATTTGGCACAAGACATTGTCATTCCAGGCTTCTTCCTATACAGTTGCTAAAAGAGAATAAAGATGGTCAGATAGTAACAGACACAACATAGGACTTACTAGCTTTAAATTTACTACAGACATTTTAAAAGCATATAAAACAAACATGAAAACATTTTCTATTCACAAGCACGATGCAATATTAATTTTGTTCTTTTACAAGATCATTCAAGCAGCTGGACTATGTGCTCACTAAATTCGCTCAAAAGGCATAGGCTGAGAAACTGATTCATAAGCTGTTATAGCAGGCATGCATCTGGACAATGGCCAATACTACAGGGTACCGTGGGAACAGCAGACACAGTCCACTGCATCTTAACACAGAGTTTTGGGCTAGCAGATACATACTGTGAGTAGACCTTACTGACTATGCTACTGCTACGCCCCGAGCCTGCCACCATCATCCTCCTGCACTCCTACACAGTGCTGCAATGAATCTTAGTCTCCCAGTAAATGGGGTGTGCGTGTGCAAGCATTCCCTCTGCAGGAGTTCTGCTGTATTCTGGTACATAGGCACCTATGTGGGGAGGCCGCGAGTTGCTGCCCCTAACTGAACCAGCACACTTCTCAATTCAAAGAAATATAGCGAAGAGCCCCACAGTGCATGGGATATTACACGGAAAACAATATATACCTCCTGAAGACTCAGGGTAAAATGAAAAACACGTTAATACAAATTCTATTTGGACGATTAACAACAAGTGTCTATCTCATCATAGATTTGGATGGCACATTATAGGGAGAATAAACAGCCCCTGCCCTGATGATCTTACAATTTAAGCTAGGCATGTGACATAACTGCTTGTTTTCATGAAGTATGCATAATGCTACTTCTATTCTTTTCTCTTCATTTTTCTTTTTATGTATTTATGTTTATTAATGTTGTCGGAGAATAACAGAGTTCTCACTTTTTGTTTGGGTACAGCAAGTCAGATACTTTATTTTCTCTCTATCAATTGCATAGAGGGAGAGAGCTAAACAGGTCTCTCAACAGGTAAACAATTACAGCAAGCATTTATACCTTTTGTTACAGACAATAATGAGCAACAGCTGCATTTTGTTTATACATAGGTCATTCTGATATCTTGTTTTGCTCACTAATGTAGACTCTTAGTCTACATTCCATATTATCTACACATTATCTACACAAGGTCGCAACAACTTCTCACACAGTTCTTTCCCACTCGCCTCACACATTCCTCGCTTCTACAAATCTCGCGTTATTAGGGTTACAGTTAGCCTGACTCTTGCCAACGAACTGTCATACATTGCATCCCCTTCCTGTCAGTTCTTTCTCTGCTTCCACAACCCCCCCTTTTGTACTAGTAGTACAACAAACATTTTCAAATCTCTATTTGCATTAAGTCTTGGAATTCAGATTCTACTTCAGATGCTTCAACCTTAGGGGTTTTGATTGGATGTAATGACAATGCATGATGAGCATGGACATGAAAGGTATTACTATTATTACATCCGTTACAACAACAATAACATCCTCCTACACTAACTAACACCAACACAAACAATAATATTCCCATAGCAATAATATGATGGGGTTGTTGTACATTCTTAGTCATAAAACACAATACATCATACTTAGTACATAAGGTGGACACTCTATAAGCTGTATGAAAGGCTTACTTTTCAACTTGATATATATATTGAAGCATGTGAATTTGCCCTTGTCTTGCTGAACCGTCCCTTCCATGGGCACCGGCTTTTTCACTACCAATTTAGCTAGGAGGGTGGGCTTCTCAACTAGCCCCCACCCTTCCCGGTCTCTTCCCTTAAACATTCTTACTCACAAGGCTACCCGAGTCCTCCCTCGTGAGGCTTGCCACTTGGGCAAAACGCATGGCCCATTGGCGTTTAACTATTCAATTTTCTCTTGTTGCAAACACACTGCTCTTACAGCATACACTGAGCACAAATGGTTAAATTCTGACAAGTCCCTGAAGGACCGGTACTTGCTTAGCCAGTGCTTCCTTTTCTGCCTGGAAGTCCTGTCTCAAGGCTTGCAACTTGCCCTGGGCGTAGGTTTGAGTTGCTGCCTGGTTCATGATCTATGCTCTTAATTGCTCAATTCTAGTTATCAAGTACACAACTCTTCCCTTTTCTCCAAGTTCTCTATTGCCCAGTCCTGCTACGACTGGGGTAGATCCACCTGACACCCTTCCCGGTCAACCGGGGTGGAGAGAGGAATGCTAAATCCCTCTCCGGTTCTCAGACTTACTGCTGCTGAGAGTAAGCACACTAAGCATGTGAATTTGCCCTGACTCTTGCTAACGAACTGTCATACATTGCATCCCCTTCCTGTCAATTCTTTCTCTGCTTCCATAATGTCTATTTTATTTAGTTTACATCAAAATACAAATCATTGTAAGAGAAACTTTGGAAGATATGTTCTGTATTTCTCTTTAGTTAATGTATTTCAATCAAAACATAAGCATGGAAACAGGATTTTTCTTTTAACAGTTCATTTGGCTCCTGCTTTTTAATCCTTACTTGGTTATATTCCTCATTTCCAATGTCATATCTGAGATATAACTACAACAAAAATGGACAGCAAGACAATCTATTTTTATGACTGCTTACATTATAATGATCATTACCTTAAAATATTAAGGAGTTTTTTCCTCCACATCACTTTAATGCTTCACATATAGTCTATTTAAGAGGCACAAGTTGATAAGCTATAATATTATGTGAGGAACTCCTGTTGAGTTATTTTTGAACCATAGTTTATTTACACCTAATACTCTGCTAACACTGAATTGCATGAACCACATCCATCCATCCATTAGTATCATTATTTTAATATATTTTATTATTTCACTGTACCATGCCCTCATTCACTGTTGAGGTTAGGCAGGTACAATTCCTCCAAAGTCAATGGAGTGACACTCATTTACTTCAGGGGTAAGTTTAGCCTCAGTAGAACAAGAATAGTAGTTCTAATTCTGCCTCTATTTATGACTGAACAAGAAGCAAAAGAGCTGAAAAGTGAGCTTGGATATGATCACAATGGACTCAAAAGCTATTTTATTTAAGTTCCTGCATGAAATTAAAAAAAAAGATCAAATCATTACTGTATATCAGGCAAAACAAATATGATTTGAAATGGAAAATTATTTCCTCAAAGCATTAGTTTTAATTAATTCTACATAAAATGAGTGACCTAAATCAACCAATTTTCAGTAATCTTAGTTTTAATTCAATAGGCTTAATAAGGCATTGCTTTAGTCTTAATTTTCAGTTTAAAGGAACACAAGATTGGTAAGCCAAAAATCTGGTTTACCTTTTTTCCTTTTTAGAACTGTTTGCAAAATGCATGCATTTTTTGTATCATTTAGTACAAAATGAATGCTTATTTTTTAAAAACAAGTACCAGTAATCTATATGATAGCCAAATGAGCAACCCCATGATAACTAATCATTATATAAGCATATGATGGAGGAAAGAGAGTTTGGCAAGGAAACAGATTTCAAGCTTCCAGGAATTACTATAGATACCAAGTAGTAAAAAATTTCAACAGCTATGAAAAGTGCTCTATATAATTTATTGAGCACAAACCTGTCCTAAAGAGATTCCAATCCAATTTAAACACAGTCCCTAGAACAGGATCAGGTCTATAAAATATGTACCATATTGACATTAAAAGGGGTATCTCCATTTGTCTAGTTACTTTAGTAATGTAATAGATTATCTAGCCCTCCAGCCATATTACTTAATTTTAGAAACTAAGCTGGGGTGTGCTGTGTCTGTATTTTAATAGGATACCACCAAAGAACACCTGGGGGTTGAAGAAGTGGTTGTGTTGATTCAGAAGATGGTACTCTTCTCTGAGAGTCAGCAATGAGCCAATGTACAAGCACAGTATTAAGGGGAACTGCACTACTCTCTTCAAAATAAATAATAAAAATCAACTACGCATAAAAAAATTCTATTGCATTTTCCTAAAACTAGGGTTGTATTTCCCAGTACTTTGTCCTAATACTTAAATTTCATCTAAAATCTTCCCTGCAGTTTAAATTGTTTATGGTATTCTTCACTTCCTGTTTTAATTTAGGTTTTCATCCAGAGGTAGGTAAAATGAACACTGGGACTGGGACTTGGGTAAAGCTTCCTAAACCCTTTAGGTATTCTTGGATATGAAAGATGTTATATAAGCATAAGATCATTATAATTACAAAAACTTGGAGTTCCAGTTATAAACAGCTGTACTGTGTATTAAAAACATTTAGATTGTACTAGATAGTTAACGTTTTTTCTATGGTGACTATTTTGCACCTGTAGTGTTTCAACACAGAAGTTATTTGATGTTTCGCTGTTCTTTCTTTACAGCAGATGAGTCAATTGCCTTGCTGACAGATTCTAAACTCAGTCTAATATCATTCACATTTGTTCTGTTGAAGCTAATTATTACCCAGAAAGAGATTGGTACATGCATACAATTACAGGTGGTACATTACTTACATCAAACTGAGCCAGAATAGTTCCAGTGATAAGCCCCTCTGCTAGTTGAATCATAGATTCCCGCAGAGCATTATCGTCCTGATGGACACCATCCAGGGGGGATTTCTCAGGGATGTACTGGAAGTCAGGCTCACTCTCCAGCTTCTCTTCCACCACATCGTAGACAGCTACAATAAATAAAGGTAGGAAGGTTGAGGGAGGCTCTAACCTAGCATGTTCTTTAGCTGTAACAGTGAATGCTCATCTTTTAAATAAGAAAAATGGCAATTCAGTATTGCTTCGACAGGAAAATCTGTGGTAGAGTACCATTAAGAGTCAGACTTTAATCCATATCAACAAAAAATTCAGTGTTCAAACCGTTATGCTCCACCCTAAAATTACACTGTTATTTAGTTTACTGTCGAGTAAGAAATGGATTTTCACATAATCAATACTGCTAAAACCCTTCTCCCTAATCCGTGTCATATCTTGCCTTCTTTACTGTAACTTTCTCCTCTTTGGCCTCCCCAGTTTCCACATCACATCCCTCAAGTCACTGTAGTAACGGTTTATCTTTTTTGTTTTGAGTTTCACTTTGCCGGGAATTAATTAGGCTAAAACTGGCAGACCACTGGCTAGAATGACATTCGTAGGCCCCACTATAATTCTGTGAACACTCTGTGTAAAAGTACTGCCTGTAAACAAATATGTATTCAAATATACACTGTGAAGTATATATTATAGCTAGCACACAAGCGTATGCTCTTTTGAAAAGTTTGCCCATAAAGTAGAACACTATAAAAATGTGAGTGAGGAAATTATGGCTACTTTTTAATTCTGCATTTTAAGGCTTTTTATTTCAACCACAACTATAAACAACACACAAAGGGGTATTAACTTGGTAAATCTGTAAACCAATTTAGCAGAATTTAATTTTATATGACTATGACAGAGGAAGAAAATATACAGAAACAATGAAATGGCTTAAATACATAGAATGGGAAGTAAAACAATTAAATAAAAGAAGCCAGAATCATGTGTCAATTGGTTGAGGTAATCTAGTGGAGTGATTTCAACTATTCCAATTATTTCTCAGTATATTTTTCTGCTGCATGGCTCTTTATTGTGATTGGGTAGTAGAGCAGAATTAAACACACAGCAGCTGACTGTTGACAACATTCCAATATAAATGCCATGAACATACTGTATAAGCTTGTTTTTTTAAGCATTTTCTTTTATTAAGCTGCCTCCAGTAAAAATGTTACCAATAATTCTCAATTGCTTTGAAGATATATTTTAAGTCCTTGAATACTATCATATCTATGTGACAATTTCCAACGACACCCAAAATTGCCATTTTGGGATGGACTCTCCTCCGCACTACAATCAATTTGTGCAGTCATCTGGCCAATTTGTACCTAATGTGACTCATGAATAAAATTTATGTAGAGCCCTCTTGCTAAGAATACCCAATTATTTTTCATATCCCTATTTTGGGTATTTAAATTTTGTTTTAAACACTTACTATTATAGGTATGAATGCTTGCAGTACAAGGTATTTCTCTGTATTTGTATATGATTGAAATGCTGCCTTCTTGTTGTAATCTTATGTACTTTTTCTAAGGGGGAGCACCTTTTTGTAAAGAGTATTAGCATCCTTAACCCAGGACACAACGTGAAGGCTAGAAAGGAGGAGAGGGAAGATTTGTTGTGTTACATATAAATCACTCACCATTGGGTCTTACTAGGAGCACAAGTTCCCCCGAATGCCTCTCACAGCTGTCTTTAATAAACATGACAACTTGATCATGGGTATGTTCCGCTATATCCCTGCCATTTATCAATACAACCTGATCCCCTTCATTCAAACGAGGGACACAGAGGTCAGCCTGCAACATGAAACAAATTAATTTTACAAACACAGAGCACTCTAAAAACAAAGCTTTTGTATTTTGTTACTTTAAAATGGCAACATAAGAAACAGCATAACTGTGTTCAGGAATGTGGATTCTGCCAGACTCATTTATATAGTTGCCACATTGGATCAAATGATATATAAAGCGTTACATAACACAGCAGACAGTGCCATTCATATGAATACTTCAATTCACAACCAGGAGGAGTCTGTCATTTCAACATGCCTTTCTGATGCTGTTACTCCCTGCTCCTTGTATGTATGCTGAAGTTGAATGCTTGGATAAGCTCTCCAGTGTTTGAATTATATTCTACATTAACACTGGGGATGCAGGACAAGCTCAGAAATCTCAGAAAGGAGGGCAGCAGCATGGCAAAACCTTGACCAATTCAATTTCACAAATCTAAGAGCAGAAAGCTTCTAATATCACATTCAAGGCAACAAAAAGAAGATGGGCGGGGGGGGGCAAAGGAAATGCACCAAATCCAGTTAATCTGGGCAAAAAGAACCAGCAAGTGAAAATACTATTTATGTTACAATTTAACCATGGTTGCAGAGAGGAAAGGGCAGTGCATTCCCCATTTATCACCACCACAGCATTGCTAGATGTTTAATCCATTCATCCAAAATTAACTGCAACAGAAACAAACCAATTTGTTACATAGAAAATAAATTAGGAAAAAAATAATTAACTGGGATAAGAACAATTTAATATAAGGATGTCAACATATACATTTTAATGATTTTATTTAGATCAAAGCTACTTTGTTGTTTTAATGTAAGCAAATGTGTCTCTTATTCTATTAATTTCTGACAGGTGCACAACACAGAGCTGGCATCACAAAGGCTGAATACCAGGTCATTATTTCTGGCAATCAACTGCCACAATATTGTGCCTAATTTGAAGACATTAATGGTGCTCACTGAACACCAGAAACACCACCACAGAATCAGACCTGATGAATGATTCATTATGTCTGGTTTAATCTAAATCTTGGCATTGCTCACAACTGCATGTGTCAGTAAAAACAAAAGGGATTTGCAACTTTTAACAGAATAAAAGTTTGTCTCAACACAATTTGTGACAAAATCCCATGAATGTTTAAATTAAAAATGTATGCTAAATAACAATGTTTTTAGGATGAGTGGTGCATTATATATCAAGAGTCAAGAAACAGCTATTATAACTTATTGTAACCACTTGCAGTGATGAAACTTTATTGTATTGAGAAAATATTCATTTTTATTATTAAAGCATGCACCACACTAAACTATGAACTTTAACTTTCAAGAAAGAAAGAAAGAAAGAAAGAAAAACTCACTTACAGATAGCAATGTAAGCAGTTTACTTTTATTTAATGTAGGAATTTGTAGAAGAGCATGTAAGTAATATTGAGGGGATTATATTCTGTCTGTAGTTTATTTTCATTCCACTGTCCTCCTTTAATTAGCAAAAAAGTATTTTTAACATTATGTTTTAAATGTATTTAGTTCCAACATTTAATTGGCCACTACTTTCATTTATTATGTGAGGCAGTTAAAGAACAAGCTGTCAACAAGGTATGGGGACTACTACCCTAAAAGTAATATGTTAGAGCAATTTTATTCCTAGCAAGGTGTGGCCAGAACGTTTTCCCTCAAGGAAAAAGAAAACACAAAGGAAAAGACTTACAATAATTATGATCACACACATCTAATTAGAGAAACAAGGTGGGTGAGGTAATATCTTTTATTGGACCAATTTCTGCTGGTGAAAGAGAGAAGAACTTCTCTCTCTCACCAATAGAAGTTGGTCCAATAAAAGATATTACCTCACCCATCTTGTCTCTCTAATATCCTGGGACCTACATGGCTAGAACAACACTGCACACATCTAATTAAACACCACCACTTCCAAGTTTTTCTGACAACTTACTGGTGTTCCTGGAGCTACCCTGGACACTATTACCGGCATCTTCTGGTCATAGCCTCCCTTTAAAAAAAATTCAAAAAGTCACAAATCGTGAGTGTCACTGAACAATCTTTAAAAATATGGAGAGATCTATTTTTCATTACCTTTACATTGAAGCCAAATCTTCCATTTTCGTCTGGTTTCATTCTGATCAAAACAAGATTGTCATGGGGAACACCACCATTGGGCTAAACAAAAAGGAAGTATATAACATTACATGTAATTTGTTTTCAGCTAATGTAGGCTTTAAAGAAAGATTACTCTAATACCACAGCTGTTCCAAATGTCCTCATCAAATGTCCAATAATTGCTATTGGGCCCTGAAAAAGCAGCAGTAACCATGAAAATAGTTTCTCTCACCCTAGTTTGATGTGGGGGATCATGCACTCAGAGTTGCTGTGCACAACTAATCTGCAAATGTGTTCTCCTGGAAGCAAGCTGGCAAAATAGGGAACTACCCAAATAATAAATTGACTAATAAAATTACAAGTCATTTAAATATAACAGTTCCTGCAGTATCAAGTGGATATGTTACAAATTTGCTGTGACTGAAGTAAAAATGTATTGTTATATAGCTTGGGCAGGTCACAATACCTGTGTGTCTTAGTTTGCACTAGCTACAACTTGGGTTTAATATGGGGGCAAGTTTAGCAGGGAGCTCCTGGCCCTACAACTCACCTCTCCAAGAACAGTTTGAAATACTAATATGAGGTTTACTACACATGCTCCAGGGCTGTGTGGAGAGGAATATGAAGTGCCCTATGCAGACAGAGCTCGGTGATTATAATCCCCCCGCCACCCTTCCACATCATTTATTTGATTGAGGCAACATCACAAGCCCTTCTCCCTCCACCCCACAAACTCCTATCAGGAAATTCCCATCCACTGCTCCTCATACTTCCTCCCACATACAAATGCAATTATACATATTTCCTATGCCTCATTCAGCTCTTTCAGAACAGCACTGACGCTGGTGGCATGGCACAGCCATCTGTGGAACTACAGACCTGAATCTTGTGCCTTTCAACAAGGTGCTATTTCAATGGCTTTGAATTTGCTTGAACTAGCCCCTCATACTTATCCTACCTCACAGGGATGTGAGGTGGATTAGTCATTGTTTTGCACAGCACTTAGAGGAGGACGTAAAGTGTTAAATATTAAACAGTGATACTTCAAGTTAAAGGGACTGGTATTCAACTTTTTAAAAACCCACCTGCTTCTCACCACATTGGATTATTTGAACCCTGAAAAGTTAAACTTGCAAAAGAACTCTGCAGTGTGCGGTTGTAGGGACTGGAAAGGAAGTCTAAGTTCATCTGGAGGATCCAGTTTGATGAACTTGAACTTTCAAAGAAACATCTTCCTCACAAACCAGCTACCCTATCACTGACATGACTACATAGTAGAAAGCCCTTGATTCCAGAAAATACTTATAGTGTTGGAGAGAGGAAGGTTGGGGATAAGAAACAGTGCAAGTTAGGCTAACTATGCTTAATGTAACTGCAAGCCCTGCAAACTTAACTTGTACTTTGAGAGTTAAACTCAGTTTTTTCCCTCTCCCATGACATTCAGATTTAAGGGCTCAGCAGTTATTTCTACAAAAGCAGGACCATCATCCAGAGGAAAAACAAGATGAACAAACTTGACCCATCAGCTTACTGTGGATTTTTCAGGTGATGCGGGAACATCAAACGTTTCATTAATATGGTTATCCAGTTCTTGCTGGGAGTGTGAATAATGAATTTGGTTCCAACTGTTCTTTTTCGATTGTTTGGGTGGTAGTGCAGGAGGTTGCCCATCTATAGGAGTCTCTTGGGATCTAGATACAAAAATAAAATGGTGGAGGGAGAAAATTTTATCTGAAAATTCTTAGGACTCCAAGCAAACTGAACAAGTGGCTAAAAGAACCCCAGAGTTTGAGAGTTACAAAAAATCTGACATTTTTGTTATCCGAAAGGTTTGATTTTGTGGATATGATTTCTAAAGCATATATGCAAATACATATGTTGTGTAGAGTATATTTAAAAAAGAATCACGAACATTCAAAGATTGATTAAGCTAGAGTATTCTTGTTCAGTGTATTGTTTCTTTTAAACAGTTTACCTTCTCTTTTAATCCACTTAATCAATATGTTGGAGATTGCTTTAGAAATCTCATACATACCTAGTAATCTATTTCTAAAACAAATATACATCATTTTATATTTTTCCCAAGCAGAAAAGCAATTAATTTACATCTTAGACTGCCTGTAAATTAAACCTTAAAAATAAAGCTAAATTCAGTTTTGAACAAATTAGCACAATTAAGAATCTGACAATACTCATTTTTTGTACTTTTAACAGCAAGATGATTTAAAATCCAATCCAACATGAAAAAACTTCACACACTTTGTGCATTAGCTTCTTAAAACCACATTTGATTTGAAAGTTCTAAACATATGATTCTGCATGCAATTCACAATTTCCCACTGTCTAATTTGCAATTGAGTGCATATTATTCAGCAGCACATTTTTAAATATTACCTTGCATACAAAATTTAGCCCAAGAGAGAATATGTAGAGTCAATTTTTTTTAAATGGCATTTTTACCATGGATTTACCAGATTGATCTTTAACAATACTGCCCAAAATTAGGGTAGCTCCCTCAAAAGTTCACATTTCTAGACTAACGTGCACACTTGTTAGGTCTGAGACCGTGGTGCTGTAGCTTTAACAACAGCATACCAGTTTATGCTGTGTATTTATCTATTATAGCGGATACTCCCTTGACCACTTTTTATGGCATAAGAATTTAAGTACATAATTTTCTCATGACAAGTGCAGGACTCATCTTTCATTTTAAGGCTTTATGCTTATAAATGAAGTGGAAGATTTTCAGAGGCACAAAGGAGCAGTCAGGTGCTTAACTCCCTTTGACTTTGAAAATCAGTCCCTAAATACTCACAATCCACCAACTGCATTAAAACTCATTTTTATTAAGCACCTACCTACTTATTACGACTCAGATGGAGCACTACAATAAAGCTAGGGCCTAATCCTCAAAACATTTAGGCACATAAATAACTTCACCCTTGTGAGTATTCGCACTCAATTGGTCTGATCATATATGAGCCTTATTTTGCTAACCGCTAATTATGAAACATCATAATACTTCAACTCAATTTGCTGCAAGATCTAAAGTATCTTAGACAGCCACACGTGAAACTCAATACTGTATAATTTATTTCATTGTAATTAAAGCAAAACACAATTCACAAGGCTCTAGTCATTAGGTAAAAAGGAAAAATATGGTGGTTGTTATCCCAGTAACATTAAATAAAGGAAGATATTATGTATTTTCTGATAAACAAATTATTTAAGCCACAAAAAAGTCTTTGCACATGACAGTGGAATGAGAAAAGGAGTATTTCACTTAGAAAATTATATAGCTTTCCCCCTGAAGTTTTGACGAAATATAATTAAGGCCCTTTGTATTAGGTATTGACTAATTTCCCCCCCAAATTCCCAGGTTTTTGAAAAAGCCAGTTTTGGGGTTTTACTGATTTTTCAGCACCCAATAATTTTTCAAAGGCAAGCGGATGGGCTGTGTTGAAAGGCTGGTGAGGGTGGGGGAGTCAGTACTCACAGGTTGCAGCCTTCCTTTCCTCTCCTGACCCTGGCCCTTCAGCATGGCCCCGTTCACTCCCTCTGTGAAGGTGGGGACCGAGACAGGCAGGGAGCCAAGTGCTGGCAGATAAGCCTAACTGCTGCAGGGACAGGGCTGCAGGGAGTAAAAGACTGCACCCTTTGAATACTGGCCCATTCATGGACAGAGCCCCCTTCTGACCCCGGTCCTTCAGAATAGGCCTGGATGAAGCTGCGCTGAAGGGCTGTGGTCCGGAGGGGGCTGTGTCCATCAGGGGAAGCAGATGGGGTTCTGTGCAGATGTTCATGGCTGCCTGGACCAGGCTCCTTGACCGTCTAGCTCCCTGTGACACAGACCTCATGGCAAAGGTTCCGTTTTTTTTTTTTTTTTTTTTTTTTTGCAAACATGCCCTTAGTCACCAGGGGATAATATATCTTGGTGATGGCCCATTCAAACAGAAGGGAGTTGTCACCCTGCCCTGTTTAGCCAGTGGTGTAATACCAGGTTCAATGGTCTAGCCTTGCTCCATCCCAGCCCCGGTACCGAGCCAGGAAGTCTCCGGTACGTCAAATACTGAGAGTTCTCTAGAGTGTGTGAATTCCTGCGGTACTGACTGAACCGGTGCCTATGATTGTCAGTGGGTCAGCATGGAGGGGATCAGGGATCTTGGCCATACCGAGTGCTCAGAGGCTGAATGGCTTGCTAATGATGGTGCTAATGGTACTACTAATACTGGCAGCATCTTCTTAGCGGTGGTGCGGTCTTGTCCTTGCCTTTTTCTGTCAGTACCATTGCTTTGGTGCCTTTGCCCATCTGGTCTTTAGGCTCATCAATGATACCTGCTGCTTCAGTACCATAGCTCATGGTGCTCTTGTGAACTATGGGTACCGTGTTAGGACTGTCTCAGTACTGAACGCGCTGGTGATCTTTTTTGGCTAGCTCGGGGCTCACTCTGGGGACTCACAGTTCTGGTTTTTGAAGCCTTACGCAAGGGGTCTTCGTCTGTTTTCTGTGAACCATAGCTCCTAGATGTTGAGGGCTGCTGGGAAGATTCGCGCTGTCTGGGTGACTCCTGGCACAGGTCCGGGGAGGGCTGAAGAGCTACCTTCTTGAGGAGGAGCTTTTGTCTCAGTTCTCTATCCTTCCTAGATCTGGGCTTGAGTTGTTGGCAGAGACCACACTTTTGAGGAATATGGCTTTCCCCGAGGCAACGGCTACAGTGGGAATGTTTATCCGCTATAGGGATGGTCTCCTTGCACGAGAGGAACTTCTTAAAGCCCGGTAAACCAGGTTTACTCTGTGCTGGGGCAACCTCAGACAAAGGGGAAAATAAAGTGGGTTGGGTTTTTTTGGTAGAAAAGAGAAAACAAAGAAAGTTCTACAAATAAAAGAAAAACAATTAATTAACTACTGAAATGCTGAAAGTGAAATAATGATCCAATGAATGGACAGCTAATAGCCCCGTCTCTAGCCAGAGGCAGTTGAGAAGGAACTGAAAGGGGCTTGCCCATGCAATGTTGAGGGGGGTAGGGGAAACAGCGCATGTGTGGGTCAAACAGACACTGCTGTCAAAGTTCTCTGATCTGCAGGGATGCAAGTGCACCTACAGTGGAGCACTCATAGGGACACTACTCAAAAGAACCATTTCTTTCCATCACACTCTCGTTTCTAGTTAAATCTCTAATCTTTCTTAAATAAACCTCCTTTGTCATTTATAGTAAGATTTCACAAGTGCTGTATGGTTTACAGGAGTAGTGGTTAAGGTAAAACTAGTAAACTGAGGAACGCTGCTCCTTTGGGGGTAGAAGAACTGGGACTTCTCTGAGTAGCCTCTTTCAGTGACTGGGTATCACAGGGGAATGGTTCAAATGGAACAGGGACAGGGTGCACCTGCAAGGTGTAAGGTGAAAACAGGGTTAAACTGCAAGGTGAAGACAGGGTTTGCATAGCCCAGAGGCAGTGGCGGCAGAAACGGGGGGGCCATAGCCCTCCCACTTTTTGAAAGTGGACGGGCTTGTCCTGTCCACTATTTGCTGGGGCGGACCCCCTTCCTCTCCACTTCCCCGAGTCCCCCACCGCCCCCCTCGGCCAGGCCAGCATGGAGCCTGGTCAGGGAGCCTGGTCAGTTGTGGGAGCCATGCAAACCCTCCACCTGCCCACGGTGCAGGGGGAGCCGAGAGCAGCCCCCAGCCCGAGTCCCGCCTGGCCCAGGGAAGGTGGAGGGTCCACGACTCCGCACCGGCTCACCACAACTGCCCGTGTGGCTCTCCCCAACCTGGCTCCGGCCGGGTTGGGGAGCCTTAGAGCCGCAGCCTAGCCATGGTAACAGCTGTGTGGCCAGACGTGGGGAGCCGCGGAACCTCCATCTGCCCTGAACGGGAGACCTGGGGGGTAGGGACACAGGCAGGGGAATGATTTTGGGGCTCCCCCTGGGCTCCCTGGCCCAGCTTGGCCTTTGAAGGAAGAGGGGACAGAGGTGGGCCCTTTGGGGAGGGGCCTTGGGGGATGGGGCCTCAGAGGAAGAGGGGGCGGGGAAGGTTCCCACACCCTTGCTCAGAGAAGAGTGCTTGAGTGGCTGAAAGGCTGGTGGTGGTAAGGAACTCTCTCACACCAGAGGCAGGGAGCAACAAGGTGACTCTCAGTCCTAGGTAAGCCAAGAATTGTTAACTGCAGCAGTTGGCCCTAGGGCATAGAGCCCCATCTACTTCCTCTGCCAGACAGAGCCTGTGCAGGGGAAGCAAATGGGGCTACCTTGAATAGCTGAGGTTGGGAGGGGGCTGTATTGCAGGGGAACCAATAGTCACAGGGAAGTCTTTTGCTGCCCTTCTGACCCCAGCCCTTCAGCATTGTTCGCTTCCTTTGCATTGGGGGGAGGAGAGAAAGAATGAGACGGACAGGGAGCTGGGTCCCAGCAGACCAGACTGCTTAACCACAGCAGGGAGGGGAAGTCTTCCTCAACTGCCACATGGTGAATATCCCTTCACACCCCACGAGTTCTCGTTTTTACTGATTTTCTCCCATTTTTAAAATTTTTAAATAAAAACCAATAAATTGCTGGGAAATTAAATAAGAAAAACAACAAAAACAAATCAACAAAAAAGAAAATGAAAGGCCTTAAATATAATAAATAAGACTCTTTTAAAAAAGTATAAACAAAATATTAGAAACCTCAAACCTAAGTCATGTTGACACCCA